ATTTTACATTTAATTCTTCAACAATTCGATGTTGATTAAGGCCTCTTGAACAAGTGCTACGTTTTAAGGGGCCAGTGGTTAAATTACAGTTTTTGGCCAATGGTCACTTTACCAGGTTTATGACAACCAGAACTCATTAATCATCATCCAAGCATGAAGACAATTTGTAAACATATCAGACAACGTGGCTACAATCACTGCGAAACGTCCTTGGAATGCCCAGCAATATATGTTGTTTCGTATTTGTCAATTCTGTTCCCGAATGCTCCCACTTCCGCACCCCTTCCCCCCAGATTAATGTTTATGATTTGGAAAAATATCATAAACATACTTCTTGATCCCCTTCGTCATTTTGTCCTAAACTAACATTGTTCAAACGGTGGAGCGGAATGGCTAAATTTCCTCTTGAAAACAGACGTTAGTGTACCGAAACTTTTGGCAGGCGTTGTACACGTACATCTACAGTCTAAAATCGGAAAGCTCTTCAGCGTGTTTATTTTTATTTTTGATCAAACTAATAACGTTGGGATTTGTGAAGATGATGATCAGAAAGTTCAGTCATGTTTTCTTCTGCATCCAGTTATTAATAACAATGTTGTGGAATAACAATGGTTGTTGTTTTTTCGCAGCTGAAAATGACCCTCTGTTCCCGTATTACTACTTACCGTTCTCACGTGGTCCTCGGATGTGCATTGGATATCGCTTCGCCTTGTTGGAACTGAAGATTGTATTGGCCCTTCTACTGAACAAGTTTTCATTCAAGCTTGGAAAGTCCCAACCGGCAGAAATCGGAGGACAGCAACTTTTAACATACAGGCCATGCCCACCTCCTGTAATCAACATCAGCAAGTCATAGTGACGAGGTGATTTTCTATTTCATAACAACTTTGATTTCGTATAATGAATAATAAGCTATGTTTAGCGACAAATACCATTATATTCCACTGCATCATTCCTATTCATTGCAAGCTGTTACTGAGTTTGATTCATTTACTGAAATAGAGAACTGAAGCGATGTAACAGGGTTTTTTTTATAGAATTTTTATCACTGAGCATATTCATTATTTCTGAAAATTTGTGTGATGCCTTCTGGATATTTTCATGACCACACCCATCAAACTGTAGCGTACAACATTTTCTTATGTGCAATTATCGTATTACGCCACCACTCAACCCAGCTTTTGCAAGAGATTTATGTGAAGACTAACAATGTTCCAGGTTTAAACAATGAAAATAAAGATCTCAAAGGAGGAGATTTAGAATAAAACAAACCAGATAGTTTCTAGATACTGAAAACATACTAGAGAAATTTTGATCATGACGCATATTATGATCTATTTATTGTTGTTACCTGGTTTTTAATATTGTAATGCACTTTTTTAAGCTGTATGGGTCGACTGGTAGTTGCTGCAATTTTCAATACCAAATCTCTTCATTTTAGTTTTATCACTGCAATAAATTTGAGTTTATCACTGCACAGTTACGACATATCACTGCACCAATTATTTAACACTGCACGCGATAATAAGCCCTGTGATGTAAGATCGTGTTCTTATTATTTACTTAAAAGAGAAAAAGTTACCTTGCTTTTCCTTTTGTTTGTAAATGCATGATGACACACACTTAAAACAATCCTTGACAGCCTCGTTTCTGATTCGTGGTCTTACAGTGGATAAGAATATTCAATAAAAAACGCATAGCTCCTTCTTATGTAATGACCAGCGTAGACTTTGAACACCTCTTCTGAAAACCTCACATCATTCTTGTCATAAAAGCTTGTATTCCTATAAATCAGGTTGTTCTTCAATTCAACACAATTCTTCATCTCTGCAAATCTCGCAATCATCCTTCTATTGAGTTTTCGTCCTTTGTTTGTGCTGGTGCTTCTATGTCTATTATTAGTATCTCGTAATAAAAATTCTATGATAATATCCTATGACATTCTGTGATATTCTCGTAATAATATTCCTTTAAGCAATGACTTAAATCTCATTAGAAAGTGGCATCGCCATACGCTGTGTTTCTCTACTGTCTGTTTTATCTCTATGGTCATCTTTCAGGAGCTGATTACGTAGTAGCATGTCGGAGGCATAATCAGGGATGATGTATTATTATACTTTGGCCAGCCCCATAATTTTATTCTCAGTTTTTGAGGTAATTGGCATAGTGCTCAATATGATCTTCCACAATCAGGGATGATGTACACTTTTCACTTTGCTGACTATACTTGAAGCTAAATTTAGGATTCTCCTCCAAAAATATGCTTCGGGCAGGCCCTCAAAATAAGATTTGTTTTCTTCTTTTGTTAAGAACACACTGTAAATAGGGTAGATATCTGAGGACACTTCCGATAACGTGACTGCCCCTTCCCCTATTCGCTATTTTCAAAGCTTTGGTACAGAATGGTGATTTGTGGAAAAGGTTTTTAACAATACGTGCTAAATCTTCCTTGTGGACACTAACCATAACATCTAAGGCATTAGACAGTATAATCCTGGGACCATCAAGTTACTGAATCTTAGATCTAGATTGACAATAGAAAAAGAAAAGAACAATTGCAAATTTATAGTCATCAGAGACGCATACCAAATCAGTCATATGAATCACAATTTGTAATTTGATGTAATACAAACACAGTTGTCTCGAATTTTACTGATAAAAAATCACAATAATCATTTCTCTAGGACATTAGAACAATCAATCTCTACAAAAATCACATTTTAATTCTGTTTCACTTCAGAATTTCCTCTACGCTTGCTGAAAAACGATTTGCAGTCCTTTTCTGTGAGATTCTCAGTTTTTGAGGTACTTGGCATGATGCTTAATATGATCTTCTACAAATGTCGATATGAAGTAGTAACTATGGTCGTATCCCTGTTGCAAAAAGAAGATTATATTGTCAAAAAGATTCTTTCATGACTTTGGTAGAAGAACCGCCCATGAATTTGATTTATCATATCTAAATGACTGAACATAATGAAAATTATTGTTTTACTAGTCTCATAGCGCTGATACCGTGTAGGCAGAGATACTCACCCTTTGGTGCGTAAAACCAGACAGTCTAAGATGGAATTCAGAGTCTTAAGTTGTGACCCTTTGTGAAGTTATGAATCATCAGGTATTTGTGATTTTATATAACGTTTGGAGCTGTTGCCCATATCATAATTATAATTAGCATTAAGCTTTTTCTATACAACAAAGCATGTTCAGCTCTGGTGACGAATGGGTAACAAAAAATTAGGTATGCTAAGAGATGATACCAAAAGTGAGCATCTTCAAAATATATCAATCACCCCCTGAAAATAAGTGGATAGACATTAGTTCAAGATCAAGGGCAAACCATAGACTGATTTTATATTTAGAAGAATAAATGGGCATTTACCTCTTGCATTCGTACAGCCACACTGCAGGATGGATTTTCCTTGCATGCATTGACAAAGTTATCCGGAAGAAGTTGACCATCAACAAAGAAGTTGTCACTCTTTCCCTTTAAAACCCACAAATAATCTATATTGATATGTATAAATTCTTTTGCTCATATTCAGTTATATAAAAGAAATTCTGAAAAATTGGCAAGCCAAATTAGCTGCAGGCATTTTCACGATGATGATAGTATTAATGATTTGTTTTGAAAATAAAATAATTTTCATTTAAGTGAAAACTCACCTGATCTATTAAAATATCACATCTTGGTCCTGAATAGCTTTTAGCCAACTCACAGGCATCATATTCCTATAGCGATATATTTAATAATTAATCATAAAGAAATGGATTTCCATTACTAATACTATCATCAAAAACCAAAAAAAGACAATAGATATATTTCAAAGGAAAAATTCTGAACAAGACAAGGTAAAGTACTGAATAATCATCTTTGCCATATCACCAAAACTAATACTATGTAGCAAAACAGTAAAAAAGCATATTTGTATTGTATTGTTTGCTACCTAGCTTTTGAAGGTAGTTTTAGGACACTGAAAAGCTATAATGACGATCAATGTAAGTAAACTGTTCCAGGAAACTTTTTTTCTAAAATAATCAATTTAATAATCAGCAACCCTAACCACTGTGTCATCATCACACCTCCATAGACATAAGTAGTATGGTATGGCCTTTTTCCTTGCAAAAATCTCATGTCAGCACGTATGCTGATGACACGGCCATTTCCCTCTCTTCAAAAAGTATTGGTGACCTTCAAAATGACCTAAACTTAGATCTTTTGAAACTACAGGATTGGCTGCATGCAAATAAACTTTCCTTGAACATAGTGAAAACGCAGTCACTTGTTATAGGCTCTGGTCCAAACATCCGTAAGATCGAAAGCCAGCCTGATGCTTCACCATCTTTTTATTTTTCAATAGGTGATCAGAACATTGAAATGATCACCAACACAAGATACTTAGGTGTTCAGATAGACAGTAAGCTCAACTGGGACAAGCATAGCGATACTATCAAGACGAAGGCTAATCGAGCCCTTGGACTTATTAAGTATTCTAAGAAATATCTTCCATCTGACATCCTCAACAAAATGTATAGAGGAATTGTTGAGCCCCATTTGAGCTACTGTTGTTCTGTTTGGGGCTGCTGTAATGAATCAAAGCTTGACGTGTTGCAAAAAATCCAAAATAGAGCTGCCAGAATTGTAACTAGCAGCCCATATGATGCGTCTGCTGCTCCGATAATTCAGAATCTTGGCTGGTTAACCATCAGAAATCTTGTAAGAAAGGAGACAACCACGCTAACTTACAAATCTCTAAATATGCTTGCACCAGACTACTTGAGAAAATTATTCGAAAAATGTTCGGATGATAGAGAACGGTTTTTGCGTTCATCAGAAACTGATCTTAAGATACAGCTGCTAAAAACGATAAATGGCCAAAAGGCTTTTTCTTATCGCGGTCCAAAACTGTGGAGTAATCTAGAAAGGGCTACCAAATTGGCCCCCTCCCTGAAAACCTTCAAAGAACAACTATAGTCAGGGACAACTTTTATTTCATCTTTACGTTCACTTTTTTATAGCCTTAGTATTATTAAATATTGTAAATTAGGTTTGATTTGGTAAATTTCTTTCGTTACTAGTATTTTAACATAGTTATTAGCTCTTATTTTAATCTTTTAAACAGGTCAGGTTGAAAAACATATGTATGAACCTTTAACCTGTATAAATATTATAAAATTAAAAAAATGAAAATGAATGATGTTTAGAGCATAGCCCGTTATCAAGTAAGATTGAAAAGCGATGATAGAACTGAAAAACGTTAAAGGAATATGGAATTCGAAAAAAAAGGAATAGGAAGACGGATATAAGATCATGGAAAAGTAATATATGGAAAGGGCTAATAAGAATAAATATATATATATACATATACGCAAATACAGAATTTATGTATATGTATATATATGCACACTAATATGAAGAAAAGAAAAACCAAAAAAAAGGAGGGGGGGGGGGTTTATTGAAGATACTTAAACTGTTTATCAAGTCCAGAAGGATATAAAATTCCAAGTTTAAAAATTATCCGTTTTTCCAGGGACTTTCTCTTTGCACTGTCCGTTGGGGCAAACAAGAGGCCAAGAACTACCATGTCATCTTCTGTGTGATTCGCTAGGTTAAAATGTTTGGAAATGTTGCTATCAGGATCATTGTTGTGTTTGTTGTTGAGGTGGATTTTGTTCCTGACATAACGTAAATGCTCGCCAAACCTGTTGTTAATCTAGCGCAATGTTTCACCAATATACAGAACATTACATTTGGTGCAAGAGATGCAGTATATGACATTGATCGTTATTATAGCATCATTGTACCGCACGCATTTTAGTATGTTTATGAAACTGAAAAGCTATGCTTATCGAGCAGTGTCCTGGTCTTTCAACTCTATGTGATCACATCTTGTGATTTCTACACCTGTAATTTCAAAGAGCTGGCAACTCTCCTCATTCTGAGAGAAACTTTGGTCTTGTCAGGGGCTCAAACCACAAACCCTTGGATCTGTAGTCAGCAACCCTAACCACTGTGTCATCATCACACCTCAATAG